AAAGATGTGTTATAAGAGGGTAACATACACAAAAAAGAAGGAGGAGAAATAAGGACAATAGATCATGTTTGATAGGAAAGAAGGAGCAAACCATACCAGAGCGCCCGCCAACCACCCATGATTTTATCCCTGACTGTGGACGAGTATGTCCCAATACCGGGGCAAGTTCGTCTGACATTTTTTCTTTAGTTCTAGCTAAACAACGCCAAGAGATACAAATTTGATTCTGCTCTTACGGAGGAGGGAAAATCGTCACAGTATAATAAGATATTCAAGCAAACTCTTAGCTTCCTTATTGAATTAGGCGAGAAGATATGCGGCCCAAAATTATGTTTAAAACTAAAAACAAAACAACGACCCCCCTCCCCCCAAAAACCCCATCAACCCAACAACAACAACAAACCAAAAAAAAAACAACAAACAAAATAGCAACAATAACCAACAACAACAACCAAAACCAAAAACCAATAGCCAAAAACCAAAAGCCAAAAAAGAAAAAAAAAAAGAAAGGGGCGGGATTGACCCAGTGTCCCCTTTCTCTATAGACTATAGACGCGCGCTCATATGACCTTAGCAGTTGCGAGCGCCGTAAAACCTTATACTACTACTACTAGACTATAGACGCAGTAGTCCGTACGAATTACCTTCGGGGGCTCTCGTGGCCTAGAGGTTAAGGTGTTGGCCTCTCATTCAAAAGGTCCCGGGTTCGAATCCGGGTAGCGACCGAAAAATTTTCTTTTCTAAAATTGTCTCCTTTCACCTTCTTTCCTGCTCTCTAGCAATGTTCTGTTGTCTGCTTTCATTTCCACTTTCTGCCTTTCTACTCTACTCCTTGGTTCCTCCTAACTGCTGTCTTTCTGCCACACCCCTGATCTTCTGGTAGAAAAGATCTACACCTAGCCTTCTCGGACAAGGGCGAAAATTTCGGAGGGCCTGTGTGCAAGTTGCGCACGTTAAAGATCCCTTGGTGGTCTAAAATCAATAAGGGTAGGCTTCGGCCGCCACCCGGGCAAAATTCAAAAATTTCCTACCAACTGAAAATATTAGGTGTGTCCCGCGCGCTCATATGACCTTATGCAGTTGCGAGCGCCGTAAAACACTTTACAAAAACAAACAAGAATGACCATCGAGCTTTTGAGAGGTAACCTATCAAAGTGCATACCACTTAGTCGCTTTCTAACACTGTCAGCAGCAAAAACGCACGTAAATCAGTCACGACCTAACGATAGCAATGTGTTTGTAAGACCAGGGTTTTCACACGAGATACGATTAGTCACGAGATACACTTCACTGTCACTCAAGTGTTCTCATGATGCTCAATGCACGTGGTGTTGTTGGGACATTATTGTTATTATAATTTTTATTGTTAAAAATACCTGTATCGGGCGTTAAACCTGTATTGTCATTTTTATCATTATTATTATTATTATTATTATTATTATTATTATTATTATTATTATTATTATTGATGTCTTTATTCCATTTAAGTCCAGGCAACTATCTCCCTCTTTAAGAAAGAAACATGCTGGAATGCTACATCTTCCCCATATTTCTTTATGGCGCTGAGACCTGGACTTTGACAAAGAAAGAAGAAAGCAAAATAGCTGCGTTTGAGTTTGAGATGTGATGCTACCACAGAATGGCTAGAATAAGTTGGAAAGACAAAAAAGACAAACAATGAGGTAGAATCTATGTCAGATTCTAATTGCAAGACAAACCCTGCTGAATAAAATAAAATAAACAAAAATATTATATTATTTTGACCACTTAAAACGATACGTGACCATTGTGAAAGATATACTTGAAATTGAAGGAAGAATGTGGGGCGAAAGAGCCTAGGGAAGACAAAGAATAACATGGATGGACACCATAAGAACCATGCTCTGGAGGGGAAGTAAAGGACTAATTTAAAAAAAAAAAAATTTTAAATCCACCAGTCACGACATCACATGCTTTTTCAGTTATCTTGTATATATTTTTAAAAAATTAGTCCTTTACTTCCCCAACTCGAAGTCAGGTACCCATTACAGGTGGGTGGGCAGGACGGGGCGAAAATATATCCGTGTCCGAACCGAGGCTCGAACCTGGACTCACTGCTTTGGAGACAAGCGCACTAACCACTCCGCCACCACGCCACTGTAGGCTACGCTACAGGCTTTAAAAATACTGCAGTAGTGCTTTGCGGTCGGGTTGCCACCGTGAAGGAATCCCTCAATGACGTCAAACAAAACTACATGTATAAATATCAGACAATGGCGTACATCTGCCGTTCTCAAGTTATCCACGTGTGGCCTAAATAAGGTTTGGTGGGGGGGGGGGGGGGGGGGTGAGTTATTTAAGTTATATTACAGGCCTTTTCTTCATATTATTTAAAATATTTTTTAAAAAACGACTTTTCCAATGTACCTAACTTTTCTCCCAGTTTACCAGTGGCATTCACTCGATCTATTGACAATAAATATGATAGGATTTCCATTCTCTTTCTCCCTGAATACATCTACAAAGAGAACAGTACCTCAGAAAGGCGAACTTTTAGGAAAGGCTCATAGATCTATCGATCTAATAGTCTTGTCAGATTGTTACTGGTTACATTTCTAAAGTGAAAGTTTGACTTTTACTCTGACTGCAATGAACTGACCAAATTGACATTATTATAATACATGTCTAGTATGAAGATGAGACTGGCCAGAATGTACAATAATGACTGTATTGCACCGGGTCAGCTTGTGAACCGACGCAGAGAGAAAACGACTGGAATCAGTAATACTAATAACACCCCCCCCCCCTTCTCTCTCTCTCTCTCTATCTCTCTCTCTCTCTCTTCTCTCTCTCTCTCTCTCTCTCTCTCTCTCTCTCTCTCTTTCTCACTTTCTCTCTTTCTACCCCCCCCCCTCCACTCCTCTCTCTCTTTCTCTCTCTGCCCGCAGACAAAATTTCTCGCTTTCAACTCAACGCTGAAACGTTTGTTTACACTCGTATCACGGGCCGTCATGCGCTAAGACGAGGTAGATATAACACCAAAGTCTCTTTCGGATGTGAGATAGGGCAATTGAAACTTCTTAGTAGTAGTTAGACAATCTTTAATAAAATCACGACGCTGCTATAACACTAATAAAATCTGCCTTAAGAAACAGATGGAAAAGGTCCCACCCTAAACACAACAGACATGACCCCTACTACATACTACTGTCGCTTTTTCAAACAAAGCAAAAAATCTAGGAGTATACTTAGACAAAGATTTGTCCATGGAGACCCAACTTAACCATCTATGTAAAATTTCATACTTAGAAATGAGAAGAATTGCTCACATAAGGAAATTTCTTCGAACTGATGCCACCAAAAAACTAGTGTTTGCCTTCATATTGTCACGCATTGATTATTGCAATTCACTGTTCGCTGGCCTACCCAAAGAAAAAGTTGCAAAACTCCAACACATTCAAAACAATGCTGCAAGGCTAGTATTAAAGCAATCAAAACGCCATCATGTGACTCCCCTACTTAAAGAGCTCCATTGGCTTCCACTGAAATTGAGAATTGTATATAAGTTAGCCCTACTATGCATTAAAGTAAAGGTCAAACTAACCAGTCTCCCACATACATTCAAGAACTCATTGTACCATACACACCATCACGTGAACTTAAGACCCAGTGGCTCTAGACTAATTTCAACACCTCGTGTGTCACTGAAGAAATAATGGTGAGAGAGCTTTTTCTTTTTCTGGGCCAACAGTCTGGAACACTCTCCCTCATGATTTGAGGAGCGAAATAAAACTTGATACTTTCAAAAGGGGACTCAAAACACATCTATTTAAGAAATATTCTAATTAATGGACAGTACCTTTGCCTTTTTGTATGAGCATTTTTTATTGTCTGAAAAAATGTTGCTGTCAAAAAGTGCGCACATGATGAATTTGTATGGTGTTAGTATGAATGCCTTTTTAATCTCCTATGTACGCCTTGGGCCCATGCTGTGGGGAAAGGCGGGATATACATGCTCTTATTATTATACTAAATAGAGCAGACCAGGTCACAATCTTTAGACTCCGTTGTGGCCACAACAGACTCAAACACCATATGCAAACCAAATTAAAAGTGGAAGAGTCAGTGATCTGTGAATGTGGACACGACCAAGAGGATGCCAACCATATCCTTCAGCACTGCCCGCGCTACGCCACCCTTCGCACTCAGACGTGCCAGAATGTGGCTCCCCTTGAGAGAAATCTCTATGGCAGTCTCTCAGAGTTGAAGCGAACTGCACAGTTTGTGCGCGACATCGGACTGACTGTCTAGCTGCTGTCATCGAGAACGAAGAAGAAGAAGAAGAAGAAGAAGAAGAAGAAGAAGAAGAAGAAGAAGAAGAATGACGCTGCATTTCTATTGTTAGCAACTTTGTCACTGCCATTCCGATGAATGATGATAGTTCAATAATAAAGGGTGATAGATCCTAGTGTTCTAGTCAACTCGCGAGGGAAACCTTGGAAGACGACAAAAATAGCTGGTGGAAAAAATCATCTATGATCTATTTTGGGTCAATCACAGAGGTGTGCTAGGTGCTCTCAATAGCTTCAAGTGGCACGGAAGGCCACGAGCCGTGTTTACGACCTTACCGGGTGCCCACTACGGATGGGATCGCCCGACTCGGTCGCCTCAAAAACAAACTTGTTTGTTTTCAGTTTCAGGCGACCGAGTCGGGCGATCGGCCCGATCCAGCCGTAGTGGGCACCCCGTATAAGACTAAGACTAGAACTAGGTGACCGGCTCCGGGTGGGCAGAGAATGTTAGCCACCCGAGGTCGCAGGAATCCCCACGGGCCAGTAGCGTCAGGCTACTGGACGCTAGCCACTCGAGATCGGGCGAGTAGCATCAGCCCCCCAAAAAAGTTTTTTAAAAATAAAAAAACAAAAATAAAACCCACGACAGTGAAATTTTGACATCGAGAAAAATTAAATGATAACTGACAATACATCACATGCACATCACGCCGAGTTTGTGTGATCTTTGATAACAGATTGGGGTATAAAAGTTTAGCTCGCATGTCACGCCTTATAGCAAGTGTACACGTTATATTTTTCTCACATTAGTAGACAGACAAGCAAGAGAGAATCAAACGGTGTCCTTGCCGAGCAGTGAACTACAACTACAAGACACAAGACAGAGAAGATGGCGTTACGTCATGGAGTCCTCTATCTGGTCCTGCTAGCCGTGGTCCTAGTGGTCAGGGTGGAGTCCGGCAAGAACTGGGTCCTGATAGTCGCCGGGGCCAAGGATTACAACAACTACTTCTCTCAGGTAAATGTCTTTACTCAACATCCACTTCTTAACTTTATATTATACATGCGTATAAAATATATACATGAATATTGTAAATTACATTTTAGTAGCGCATTTCCACGAAATAAGTACCCAAAGCACAGTATAATAATACAAAGAATATAGTTCTAATTGTGATCATTTCACTCACCCTCCCTCCCCCCCTTTCTCTCTTTCTCCCTCTCCCCCCCCTCCTCTTTCTCTCACTCACCCCCCCCCCCCCCGGTGCCACTGACAGAAGTGTCTTTTGGCCATTCCCAAACGGGGGACATAAACATGTTCTCATGCACGGTAGATTTGTAAATGGGCTAATTCAACAATGTCATGCTCAAAACTGTGCCTCAAAACGTAATTGAGACCATTCTGAAGGAGGGCTTCCAGGACCAACCCGGACTTGACAGGACCAACCCGGACTCAGAGGGTTACATACATCGGCAGAAAGACTGGGTATGGGATGCTTGATAAAAATACTCCCCACTCGGGAATAGAAGTCGGGTCTCCAGGGGTCGACGGAGAAGCGCTTGTCAGCTGCACCAAGGGCGCTGGTGTGATATATAAATACATGATATATATATATATATATATATATATATAAATACATGATTATATATATATATATATATATATATATATATATATATATATATATATATATATATATATATATATATATACACACACACACATTTATAAATCTATGTTTAATCTTTTGTGTCCCCCCACCTAGGCGGACTCGTGCCACGCCTACCACACAATGCTCAACAACAGCATCCCCCCAGAGAATATCATCCACATGTCTTACGATGACGTAGCTCACGACCCCCAGAATCCCTTCCAAGGAAACCTCATCAACGTCCCTGGAGGGCCGAACCTTTACCCTGGATGTAAAATGGACTACCGAAAGGAAGAAGTGACACCGGAAGTCTTCCTTAAAGTTCTCACTGGAGACAAGGAGGGTGTGAAGAAGCTGATTGGACGAGACGGTAAGGTGGTAGACAGCGGTCCTGACGATCACGTGTTCGTTACAATGGTTGATCACGGAGGTCCAGGGGTCTTCTGCTTCCCAGGTTTTGTTGAGCTGCACAACACTGACCTCAACAACGCCCTCAAGCAGATGCACAGAGAGAATAGGTACAAGGAGATGGTGCTTTATGTGGAGTCCTGCTACTCAGGGAGTATGTTCGAGGGTATTCTCCCGAAAAACATAAATATCTACTCTACCACCTGCTCCAATGCCCACGAGTCGGGATATATGTGCTGCTGGGATAAAACCCGTGAAGTGTACCTAGGCACTCAATACGGCAACGCCTGGATGTACGACACAGACAAGGCAAATCTCCACAAGGAAACACTCTACCAGCAGTACGAAGTGGTGAAAAAAGCTTGCAACGTTTCAGGAACAGTGAGTCACCCTATGCAGTACGGAAATCTGAGCATGAACAAAGAAGTCCTCGCTCAGTACCAGTCGAAAGCGGAGGGATACCAACCCGGTGTCTGTCTCAATACACTGGAAGCAGATAATACTCTGGGGCCAGAGTTCACCTTCGCCGGCATTGACCTCAATAACCCCGCCATTGACATGGTTCAAATCGCCACCACGGCCCGTCGACTCATCGAGTCACGTGATCTCAGTGGTGAGAAGCAGGAAAAGCTCAAGGCCGACTTACGTCACATGATGCTGGTCAAGGAAAAAGCCGAGTCATTGACCAAAGACCTGGTCAAGGCAGCCTTGTCCAGCCCCAGAGGTCTGACGGAGACCGACATACTGACCGGCAAAGAGCAAGTATCTAACTCTGAGTGTTACAAGACCGCCCTGGGCCTCTTCTCTGCCCGATGTCCGGGCATTAACATGGGGAAGTACCCATTCGCCAGGAGAAATCTACAGGCCTTTATCAACCTCTGCAACCACCAGCCCCAGACTGACGTCATGAACGCCATCATGGAGGTCACGGAGAAATACGGAATTTGCCGAGCTCTGTAGACCCGTTGTATTGAGTCGTTCCCAGTTCCCGACTGTAACCCCTTCCACTGATTTCTACTTCTTTACCTAAATTATTTCTGAGTTGGTTAATTTTTGTTGTTAGTAGCTTTTATCTTTTTAAAACAGGTTTAAGTAACAAGATGTTGTAATGTACAGTGTTTCGGCCCTTTTCCTGGTCTAATGTTGACACATATATGGCAATCTAATTATTTTGAAATAAGGAGGGGAGAGGATAGAGGAGATGGTAGTTTTAAGGGTTGAAAACAATGTAAGGTCCGTTTTATTGGTGACACTTTTAGATGTAAAATACCGCCAAACCTTAGGATGAGCATAAAGATAATTGTAATGCAGGGCTGTCTGTATAAAAGGGTTATAATATACTATGTCAATTAACCCGGAATACCTAGTGTCAAAATAAATGGTTGTGATGTTTGATCATTGTATGAAAAATTCCTTTTTTATGAGTTACATGTATATGTATTTAGAGCTGAGAGTCTGTTGTTTCTTTTTCTCCACCCATCTCTGTCTGTCTGTCTGTCTGTCTGTCTGTCTGTCTGTCTGTCTGTCTGTCTGTCTGTCTGTCTGTCTCTCT